AAGCAAAACTACGAATTATGTAAAACCGTCCATTTCTTTGTGACGGACAACCAGCACCATCATCTGTTGAAGACCAGCGAGGCTTTTTATATTCCAACCTGCTGTTTTGGTTTGATATTTTCCTAAGTGCCTTTTAAAACAAAGACCAAGTCAAGCAAGAAAAATAAGAAAGAAAAAAAAACAAGTCCACATGTTATTGCAGGTTGCTCTGGGATGAAACAGTTGCTATATTTAGATGAATCATCAGAAGTCGAGCAACACAACTCACGGATAATCCATTGCACATGTGAGTAATAAGGTTAAACCAATGGTGAACATTCGACAATATATCGATACTGGCAAAATTAAAACACCGGTCAAACCATGGTTTTTTGGTCACCAAACGCCACCAAGCACATGTTGGATAAGCAAAACATTTTACCATTTTGTTGGGCTTACAGTGTACACCAAAATCTATTAGACGTCTTTKTATATCGAAGTTATATATTGTTTAGCTTCTATCTCATTGTTTTGAGCTCTTGTTTCTATGGAATTACGTATTCTGTGCTCCGGTACCAAACAGTAGGGGCTTTTGTTWGACTGTGTTGGATGCTGTTGAATCGAGCATCAAACGTGTTGGATAGTCTCAACAAGGCTTTTGRCCACCAAAAACTCTTTGAATATCCAGCAGTTAATGTTTGGTCGSCTAAAGGCCCGTTTACACTTGCGATTTTTGAATCGCCTCAGTTTGGAGCATGCTTGAAATTTAGCTGCAACTCACGCCGATTTTCGATCGCCGCGACAATCGCAGGGCTGTTTACACGTACGATTTGATCGTGCGGTGATTAAACATTTCTTCTTTTGGCTTTGTTAGAGTTAGAGCTAGAGTTAGTTATTAGAATAAGAGTTAGGTTAGTCAACATGCTGTGCTCCTATATGTCTTTCATTTTCATCTGAGCGCTTGCACGTGGGGGTATCTGGGTATGCCACATAATATATGTTTCTTTCATTTATCTTTGAAAGATTAGTGAGARTAATAGTTGGAATTAMACTCTGAATCTATTGTTTTCTTTTGTTCAAATTACCAACAAATACTGACTAAATAAGCATCTTCATCGCATGTGCGGTCAATGAAATGAATTTTTAAATTCTTCCGTATTCGGTTACTTAAAAAGTATGATCACAGCAATAATTGGAAAGAGTCTTTAACTGACGTAGTGTTGGCCCCAATCCTGGTAATCATTACGTATACGTAGGCTATTCCTGGTATGGTAGGATTTGTGAGCTAGTTCTACACTAATTTGCTCGAAACGTAATTGCTCTTTTTTTTTCCTTTTCTTTTCATTCTATTTTTATTTATTTATTTTTTTTTTTTGTGATGGTGGTGGTGTAGCTGTTGTTATTGCTGTTTGTATTGTCGTTGTTGTCGTTTTGTTTTATTATATTTTATTTCGTTTCGTTTCGTTCTTTTTTTTTTTCAGCTTTCGGTTATATCCTTATCTACAGACTCTGTTAAAAAKAGCATGAGGCACAGGAAGCCCAACCTCTCAAATGGAGGGTATACATGTATAGGAAATAATAAGGATATAATTCTTTAGGCTCTAACTTTGTGGGAATTGCTGTAGGTTGTGTTGTAGGGACTGTGTAATCGATAGATAATCTAAGATTATTGGATCTTTTAGATGATGACGAAGTCAACGTTTTCTTTTAAAAACTCATACTTTTGCAATTTTAGATGGAATCATAAGGTTTGCAAGTATGAATCGAGTGAAAGACGACTGAAAGATTCGTTAAAAATAAGCCCTAAGTGAATTTTATATATTTTACGGCTTTTTACAATGGTTTATCATTTTTATATTTATTTGGAAAACATTTATCTACAAAGCCGGCTAAATGTAATCATAATTAACTGATGATATAATTGATGTATGAGTACCGTCATTTGCAAATATTCTTTCCGCTAACATATATACAGTTATATTGGGTGAGTAATCATTTCATGCGATTTTCGCGATATATTCTCGCTAAATATATTATGAGGGTCTCAATGGGGGAGTCCGCATCACGACTCACGGCTAAAAAATTGACTTTTTCACGCCTCACGGCTATTTTTTTCTCATTTTCACGACTTACGGCTAATTTTTCAGCAGTTTCACGACTAAATTTTTCTCATTTTCAGGATTCACGGCTAATTTTTCAGCCATTTCACGGCTCACGGTTAACCCCATTGCAGTGAGACCCTCTATTATTACAAATCGATCAATTTTTGGAATTATGCTTGATATGTATGGTCATTCACAAATATTCTGAAAGTTTAATACCAAATTGAATGTTTGAATTTGAAATATCAGCGAGCTTATATTGATAGATTTATAAGTGCCTGCTCACACTACAGCAAAGGCAGACGCAGAGAAAGGGAATTTCCTTAGTGTGAACCAGGGAAATCATCAGCGGAAGCAGAAACATAAGAGTAACGTTTCTGATTCTGTTTATGTTAAGATTTATCAGTGCGAACCAGTAGAGCATAAACATAGCCTCATGCTTATGTCAAGTGTAAAGCACATTACGTTTCCGTTTATGTCGTAGTGTGCGCATGTTTCCCTTACTGCCTGTTTACAGTTGCAATTTTGTGAAACGCAATAATCGTCACTTTGCTTTCGCGTAATAGCTAAAAACGTATTTGTAAACAGCCCTGCAATTTTTGCGGCGGGGGAACGCGAAGTTACAGCCAATTTTCGAGCATGTTCGAAACTCGGGCGATGGTCGCGCGACGACTGCCGCGGGAATCGCTCTGAAAAATCGCAAGTGTAAACGAGCCTCAAGCGGTCAGAATCAGTGTACATATTACTCTATAGCTTATATGATTCTCTTAAAAAGCATTCCCTTTTCGGATATTTCTCTTTTTGTTTGAAAACAGTACACAATATGATTCTAGATCTTTCTATAGCTCTTTAAGTCTTTAAACTTGATTAATTATAATGCTAATTGTGGTGACAAAGTTTACACCTAAATATCCAAGGCACGCGCTGGATTCAAAAAGAAAGAGGCATGTTTTGTCTGATTCACGMATTTRAAAAAGAAAACACCAGTCGGATCTGTTGTGTCTAAATGAGTCCGTTTATAAAATTCAAACAGGTGGGGCGATTCCGTCTTTACAGGTGACCAATATACCATTTAGAACTTATTACTGTTTCTTGTTCGGCTGCACCCTTTTAGGCAACACGTGGTCTGTAACTAGTGCCGTRTAGTTGTCATGATTTTTCAAAGGAAAAAAAMCTCTAAACTCAAAGATAAACACCTTTATAATATGTTGAAGAACTCGCAGTTATAAGTACACGTGTCTGCTCCGCAGATCGAAGAAAGCCGTCGTCAAAGTCTATCTGATAAATGCGAATTCTTTGTAATACAACGCCGYAATGTACAATGTCTCGAAACGTTAAAAACTTGTATGTACTCAATTTGGCWAGATATCACTATCAAGAAAGCTATTAGTTATTTGAACACGCCCAGATAAAAGGATCTACCGTTTGTGACCGAGGAAAGCCAAATGCCTAACTGATAAAGACGTWATGGCGGAACCCTTAGCTTTCGCGTCCTGTATAAAAATAAACTCTAAACGCTATCGTTGCTACAGGTGGTTCATCTCTTATTCATTCAATTACAAGTCTGTAGTTATTATTGTTTTCTCTATGCCAAGGCCGCCGTAATATTAACTGGTACAGAAGGAATATCTAGTATTAATTTTTCTTATGGTTTACCGGTCATTCGAYTTCGTCTCAACTTGGCCACGTTGTGAAAAAAATGCGGACACCTTTCATGCCCGTAGGCTGCCTTACAAATGGTTGGGGTTCGTTTTTTCACAATACGGACCTAAATTAAATGTTTAACTAAATTAATTCAATGCACAGTATAGTGTGTAAGAACTGGCTGCTAGAATGAGCAGTTCAAAAAATTACTATCTCAAAAACAGTTTATAACAAAAGAATTTTAAAAGATAAAAAAAAGAGAAACACCGGACTTTTTAAGCTCGTAGGGGGCTCGTCCGAACCCCTCAGCCTTTGGAGAAGACCTTACACCTGTGCATTTTCTATAAACACCGCTGTATTTCAGTATGTGTATAGTACACAAGTACTAAAGATTCCCCGACGTATATCAATTTACACTAAGCTATAATAAACCTAATTGCCAGAAATGTTATATAGAGATTGGTACTTTAGTAAAAAAGCARTTTATTAAAAGACAAAGAAAAATACTCTGCCTGAAAGCTTTCTTTTGTCTTTTTAATTTGTACTTTTAAACTGATGTAAAAATGTTCTATTTCTCTGTGAAAATGTTTTTGAAGTAAAGTGCGGAGAGTTCACTTAAATATATTATTTTTGTTTATGTGTGTATACTGTGTTTTGTATGATCGGTCCAGTGTTGAACGTTGTCTGCTTGAGAAGGTTTRTTTCGGTTACATAATATTATGACAAGCTGAGCGGAAGTGATCTTCATTTGCACCTGGGTTACCTCCACTTATTCTCATAAATAAAGCATTATATTTCATATTCAAAAAAAGTTTAATTATAATTTTATTAATAAGGTCATAMAACTTTACATTTTATTTACGGATTATTGATTGATTGATACGTTCATTAACCAATGAAATATTGATATGAAGTCACGTGTTTGACCCCTCCTCTTTTATACACGTGCKTTTGTTTTTAACAAAGAGCAATAAGAMATTTAATACATTAACTACCTGCGCTCAAGAGGTGATGTTTTCCCATCGTTTTTCTAAAGAATGACATTTACACGATGCAAAATCAAGTCGATCTAAACCGCTAATAATTTAAGTAGTTTTGGTAAGTTTTAACTAATTCCAACTAGATAACATATCGTGTAATGACGTTTAAGTCTAGGTTGTCACAAATCCGAGATTAACAGGAATATTGGACTTTTTGTAAACGAACTGCTTTTTGATTAGCTGTCCACCAAATACAGTGCCTGTCACATCYTAAATATCTAATTTCCTCTTACAGTTGTTATATATTCAACCCAAGAAAGAATTCAGTCTCCAAGTCGTCACTTGCGGTGAGCTGGGATTGCGTGGTGGGATTGCTATTATCGAGTTGCCTACCATTGTGGCCAGTCTTTGAGATCCATATTCAGTTGCATTGGTAGGGAATTTTTATTATTGACTTATTATCTTATTGAGTTGAATGAYTTTATGAATTATGTCATTGTAAACACACGCGCCTGTAAAGGGAACTATCTCTCTCAAAGCAAAACCGTTCCTCCAATTAAAAGTGTTTAATCAACTCTATCGCCATTCACGTTTGATTTAAATTGAATCTAGGAGCGGTTGAAAGGAATTGTAATCTTTTTTATCGTTCTTTTTAATTCAATTATACTATCAAGATTTTTTTGTTTGTTTCACGTGTTGTTTGGGTTGAATTGAACATGACTTAATGCTAAAAAGGAATTTTTTTGGAGCTAGCTAGTTCTATGTTCGCTTATCTTGTTGTAGCTGTCACTGATTTTTTTCATTTTCCTTGTTATGTATGCCCAGTTTAGTTCCTTGAATGACTATTTCAATTATTATATACAGAAAATGACGTGTTCTTAATAAGTATACCGAAATCAAGTATAAATATACGTTTAATGCATAAATTGCGTGCTTATCAGAATGAGGTGTTCGAGGAAGCATGAAATATGGTTTCTGCGGCGCAAAAAGAGGTAAAACCATGTCGCCACATTAAAGAAATGAGTTTTCCGAGTTTTGATTTTACGTTTTATTAGTTTTGCATCTCATCTTTTAATATAAATGTCAAAATATTGTCTAAATCAAATTTAAAAAGTATTTCGTGCTAAGGTGACGGTTGCTTAAAAAAAAAATATTTCCGTCATGGTGATGGCAAACAAAGCCTGCTATTTCCACTAGCGCCAACAAGTCCTAGATCTCTAGCCAACTAATCACAACTTATCACGTATAGTCATTGTTTAGATGTCCTCAGATTCGTGCAATGTGTTTAAATAAATATGCAAGGCAGGAGGCTTGTTTATCAAAAAATKATATCCAATTATWACGATATTGAGCCAGTTACCCCCAAAACGCAACCTTTGACGATGATTGTATGGTCACCACTGATGAACAGCTCGATAACAGTGGATTTGATATTAATTTCATCTGTTTTATCAGCTATTTTGCTCGTATGGCTCTTATACTTGGTTTTGGGAACAATTAAAAAAATATTGGATACGATATTTTATCCACGTGTCCATTTCTTTAAATGACAGGCTATATTTGATCTTGAAATGTTATACTGATTTCAAAACCGCTCAACGTATTGTAGTTTTTACATATATAGGTCACCTCTTGCGAGGTTCCTTGCTGTGGTTGCTTTGTAGGTCGGGTGCAAACAGGAGTGTTTTTTTCCCTGAAAACTAGAGCATTGAATTTTTATTATGAACTGCTCTATATTCAACAAAATTTGCTGAATATTCAAGTCGTGGACGATAGTGCGTCGTGTTGTCGTTGGTGTGAAATTTTATGACAGAACCTGGCTTAAGTGGTTTTCTTGCAAGACAAGTAGCTTCGGAACAAAGTCGCCATTTTAAGTAGCTATATATGTATTTATACACATGCATCGATGCATCGTTAAGCATTCTGTAAACCATCTTGCTCTTTTGTCTTGTTTATTTTGCTTTGAGAGAAGTTTTGATTATCGTTGTATGAAGCGTATATCACATGACTGGGTCGTTTAGCTTGTTTCCCCGGAAAGCAGTGAGGGGATAGCAATTTGAAGCAACCATTAGAAGCCGTAAATGATTAAAAGTAGTCTACAGAAGCCTTGAATACAATCAAAAAGAGCAAAGTTTCTCGTAAATAAGGGTAAATAAAGGGCGCCTTCCACTTAAGAAGCTATTAGAAGAGTTCGAAAAGGTTCTTAATGGTTGAAATGGATAACGGGTCATGCAGACACAAGTGATGGGAGAGCACTAAAAACAACAGGTGTCGATTGCCATGGTAACATTACTGGAGACACTAGTCTGGAAATGATCAAACACGCAAGGTTCGGTTTTTAAGAAGAGTCATGTTTTTTTGTGTTCTCAGAAGTTGTGGGTCTATTTTGGATCCCATTTTTGGGAAAGTAACTTCCAGTTTCTGTGGAAACTCCTATTGAAAGAGCGCTCGTCATTAAAGTCATTGAATGAATTGAAGATTTTATGCTATCATCAATCGGATTTGCTTTTCTCTTCCTCGGTAACTATATCTTACCCAAAGCACATTGAAGATTTAGGGCAGAAGTTCCTGGTTGCCACTTTTCAGAGCCGGATAACGTTGCTCCTAACATTTTACGTGACGTATATACTTCATCTTTGAAAAAGCGAATCATGCATAACTGTGGCAACGATCAAAATAAGGTCTTTGAAATCAGAACCTATGGAGCGATGCAAAAGCATCTTTTTGGCTAAAAAGGTGTGTTTACATTTTGTTTTCTGAGTGACATTTAATCGTTCTTCAAATACAATATTCAGAGCTTGATCGCCATTTCAACATTAATCCGCATCCAAGTTGATTAAAAACTGAGACTATGACGACACCACCCAAAATAAATGAGTTTCTATACATTACATGTGCAGTTCTCTTTAGGATTGGTACGTAGCGCAATATTTATTACATCAAAGGGAAATTAGATTGAGCTTATCAATGTATACTCTCCGTCTTGATAAGGTGGATTGTCAACGAAATAGCTTTCTTTGTAAGAGTTTGTCATATTTGTTGATTCACAGAAAAACCCGGCTGACATGCCGCACAATCAGCCAACAGGATCTATTAGTTTAAACATAAGTTTAATTTAAAAAACATGACTCCATATCTGCTCGACACTAATTTGTATCTTGATCTTGGTAACGACCTTGTCATGGCTGTTTTCAGTAATGCTTATCAATGTACGGAAATGTTTTGAACGTGTGAGACGAAAATCTGTTCTCAATCCTTTGTAATATAGTATTTGAACTTTAGAATAAATATTGAAAAAAGAATATTAAGGCTGTTTTCGAAAACATTGAGCATAAAGTTATTAGTTATTTAAAGTAGAAAAAATAGGACTCAATTGAATAAGACATTTTCTCACCAAATTTGGTAAAATGATGTATTTCACATTTCTATTCTCATTTGCGGTATTTCTTCTGTCCTTAGTAAGTCTGTGCTATAGTCTAAATGAGGTCAGCTGACTTTCCATAGAAATCTATAAGGCTTGTGTATACATATTTCTCTTCAATCCTCCAATTTCGAGATCATGTTAACCTCGAAAGCATGTAATATGTTCTTTTATTCAGCAGAGAATCTGTCGTAATGCAAACACTCTGTGTACAAAGAAGACTATAGAAATGTATGTTTGATTGAATCTAAACTTGCGCAAAAGAGAATTCGAAACTGGAGTATTTTCTGCAATATCCTTTTCAGACTTTGAGTACTTTTATTGGTATTTCAAAGCACTCCAACTCGCCTTGATTGTTATCTGTATTGCTTTATTAAGTAAGTCAAGATCAAAGACATTTTTACTGCAGAGATCAAAAGAAGGTTAAGCCCTTTCATTTCTTTTGTTCGCCTAAATGTCCCTTAAGAAAAAAACTTTGAGGCCTTTTGTCCTCTTCATCTATTTCCATAAACTATATATTCCTCACAATATGATTAAGCCAAATAAACGAGTTTTGTCAAATGCAATTAAATTTAGGAAGCAAACTCGGTGTTTTTGTCACTGGGAGACCTACTGCTGCAACTAAAAAGGACAAATGACACCTTTCAGACAGTGTGACTAGCCCTACCAAACCGAAAGCTTTCTGAAACTAACAATAACACAAAACATAAAGGATCTCAGGTTTATGGAGTTGGACAGCTTGACTGCAGATCAAAGGTACATGGTTAAATGGGCGGTGTATTGTAAACATAGCTGATGAAGTTTCAGCAGTGGTAATGTCTGCGGTAATTCCCCGTGAGAAGTCAACCAAGCCCATTTTACTAAAAGACCAATATATTTTATATAAATACAGAGAGAGTTTTAATAAACTTGGCAGTGACAAATATCAAAGGTTTCAAGTGTTCGGATAGAGTTTGGCGGAGTCTTATTTGATTATTTATCTAGATAGCCGCCATTCCTCCCCCGAGGCAATCGCATGTCGAGCCCTTAATGTTGCCTGTACAAAGAGCTGACTAGATAAAACTCACTGTCTTGTTTATGGCAATTGAAAGGTGACTAGCACGTACACGCGTGTGAGAAAAATAATCAACAAGGACACCTTGAGCGAACACTTCTAACTATCGTCTACAAAGTCTGCCTCATCTTTGCGCCAATAACTTATTTCTATGGAATATTTACACAAGGTTATCAGATCTTCATTTCTTTAATTCCTGTTAAATCCTCTAGGAATGCACAGGCCTTTACTCCACGTGGTTTTATTAGTGGAATCACTTTGGTTATTTCCATTCAGTTTTCCAGAATTTATGAGTTAAGTTTGCAATGTGCATTTTTTCCATAGTCTTCAGTATCCTATTAAACGGCAGTTCAACACTACATAAGTCATATATAGTGGAATCGTTTTGCCTTTCAACTTCCAGAATTTATGAATGACATTTTGAATGCATGTAACTTTAATTCAATTGTTGTTATGTCCCTAATCAAGAGAACTATGGCACACCAAATTGAATCAGTTCAAAACTTTCTTCCATAGTTTTATGTACGAGAGGAGCTCTGTTTATGGAGCTAATTTGATACGTAGATTATATTATTGAACATTAGCGAGGAATAAGTTTTTTATTCGACCATCTGTTAATATCAAACAAGTGGACCAACTATTCAATAATACCCAAAAAGCATCAAATGATATACATATATTTTCCCTTAACAAYAAACATTTCACATATTACATAGACTATAACACTAGTCTGATTAGAAAACTAACTTTTACAACTCTTTATAAAGAGCAAAATTGCCAATATCCTTTTAATCTTCTTCTTTCAAACCTGTGTATCATGGCATTCAAAAAACATGCTGCATATGCCAAAAATATTTTTCATAGACTAACAAGCCWAGTTCACAATTATATACTGTAACTGAAACATGAATCAACTGCATGGTTAATAAAAGGGGTATTGGAGGTAAGAAAATGTTAATTTGCATGCAGCATAGCTATTAAACTAGGGACAGCGAAGAGGTGAAATGTTGACAATAAGGTGTACCTATGGGTGATGGACGTATTATTAAGTATTTTGCCCCGGGAAGGAAAAATCACTGGCGCCTTATATGCCTCTAATTTGACGCAACACTTAACGCAGCGTGCTGCCGGACATTCGACCTCTATATAACAACCAATAAATATTTGCGTACATTTTGCAGAGGTGGTCGACAAATCGAAGTAGAGCTAGTGCATGATTCGAGAATCGGATTACGGCGAAGTTACCACTCCTTTTTTTGCTTTCGATACTTTTTTTCTTTCATGTCATATGGTTCTATATATTTATTCATATTATTTTACATAGGCATTTCTGAAACATTAAAGTTTCGAAACTAGATTTGTGAACGAAACTCACGGGACGAAAAACTGACAAAAGTTAGTCTCTCAGTTTAAGTTTTAAGTTTGCCKAACATTTCAGTTCTAGTTATACATATATACGTTTTTCTTTTACACTCAATTTTGAGGTTACATTTTGTAGCTCATTCTTCAAATCCCTCCATATCTCGGTATAGATCGATTGAGAGTGCATTTTCAGTGTCCGGTGTAGAAATCATGCATACAGGTCGGAGCGCCTTTGTTTTTTGGTTGAGTCACGATCATGATTTTTATCAAAAGAATGTCCTCATGAATTTTTAAACGCCGTTCCCATAAAACACAAAAGATAGAAAAAGTGTTTGTTCGGTTATCAGAGGTGGTCGACAATAGAGGGTAAGTGACAGAACTGCTGGACTCACTTAGAGTCGATATGCCTCTAAGTCCAAATACCCAAAATCATTATCCCACCTATCAGTCATCATTTGATAAGAGTTAAGATCTTGAAGGAAGCGAAAGTAAGCATATCAATTCCTGGCATAACTCAGAAAGGAGATTTACAGTCATATCTGCAATCGTCTTCCAAAGTCCTTGGAATCGTCCCGATTCGTTCGAGAAGCATTGATCGGGGAAACTACCTTCCTAAACTACTAGATTATCTCGTATGATTCGATTTAGCATCCTTAGTTCTTGAATGAATAACATAAGCCGGACTGTTTGACGTCTCGAGGTAAGTTAGTTATACGCTTTGCCTACTTTAAGAGGTTTAGCGATAAAGCGTATATTTGGTGAAGATACGGAAAAGATTATTGCGTATGTTTGGCAAATTACTAAACTGGGCCCTCCCTAAAACATGTCATCATTTTGTCTACAAACAAGAAGTTAACGATAAGTTAGTGGTGAAAAGATTTATCTTGTACGTTAAAGTTTTAAAGATCGTTTCAATACCACAGTGTTTGTGAATATATGATTAATGGGAATGCATTCACCGAAAGCGATCCTTTGCGGTTACCGTGGTGACTAAAAAATTAAACTAATTTTGATCGTCTGTCACAGTGAATCAGTTAAGTTCTCGCATTTCGTCGATACTCTCACGTAACTTACTGCCATATTAAATACATTGGTGAAAGCTGAGTTCTTGATGTGACACTATTTTTACTCCAGAGCACCAGTGTTTGAGACATATTACGGTGTCCCTTGTCATCGCGCAGCTTCTTTAGCACTTTGAATATGAATAAGATGGCTTTTGAGAATTTCATTCAGTTCAAACTATCTGATAAAAGTTTCTTTTCTTTCACTATAATGACCACTTTGTTTAAAGAACAGCGTAGATTGTATATTGATTTAAAATTATCTAAAGTGATATTGCGGTCGAACGTTCAACTCTCGTTTACGGATGCAGAAGAAGCGCGAGATAATGTTTCGTTTTTTTCCCTTTTATTTAGCGAAATCCACTCTTCTACTACAAGATGATTAATCAAAAAGGATTTTTTCGTTGACAATCCTGACATATCCAATACGATTCGGCGTATTTTTCATTAGTCTTCAGGATAAGTTGTGATAAACTTAGCCGTTTAGGGTCAGTGATGAACGAAAAAAGATTGGCTTGAAATAGATGAAAAAGCACCGCTTGAGCGCTAATCCTTTTCTCATGAGCCCGTTATTTTGAGGAAATAGTGGATAATACTCCGAAAGATTCTTTATTTACGCAAATAAATGACTTTGTAACTTGGAATAAATTTCCCCCATACGGACGTTGATGCCGTATGTACATTTTTTTTAAAGTTTTCGACGCAAAAACAGTTTCTCCGCAACCCCGAGTCTTTTTGGAATCATTTTCAAAGATGCGTCACATCTTTGGTATGATCTCTAGACTATCATCGCAAAATGCGTACSACTATTGGAAAAAACAACCAGTGSTATTGTACCTTTGTATTCTTTACTAAAGMAAGGTTTATTTTTCACAGCTTGAGGCTGGCGTCTCCTCCATAGACAACCCGTGAACAYTCTTTAAATTAGACCTAATTTGAGTGTTCCAATGTTTATCATTGTAGCTGAAAGTTTCTAGATATTCTAAATGGGTTTCAATGGCCTTGGACAAGCGCGTAGTATGCATATATATAATTAATTTGCGAGCTGTCCGACAGGCTTTAATCATTTGTACAGGGGTCTTCAAATTTTATCATTTGTACAGGGGTCTTCAAATTTTATACTCTGAAATAAACACTTCTAGTTAAAAGCCTTCTTGAAAAATAACTTTTATTACAAGAGGACCTAGTGTATAGTCTAGCAAATTTGCAAGATTTTATCGAGATGGCTTAAGCGAAACCRAGAGAGTGTATCTTTAACTAAAAACTCTTGCAATTGTGGGATTACAAGGTAAAGTTAATTTTGCGGAATTAATTATATTAATAATTTTTGGCTCTTTTGGGTGGATTACATGGAATTAACTTGCGTTCTGACTCATTTGTATGGCTTTAAGCTTTTGCTTACATGRCGGATTTTTCTGAGTCACAAATAACAAAATAAGTAAAATAATAACTAAAATAATCAAGCATGCAGCAAAAAAAAAAATGTTGACATCTCTGAGTTCCGTAACATGCCTTCRATATAATTCCTGTACTTTGAAATTGAGGAAGACGACCGTAATTTGATATCGGAAAAAATAAATTTTTGATATAATCATGTCGTTTAAATGACTTAAAGATGGACGGTTTCTAAGATGGACGGTGTAGAGAGGTGGTCGATATTTTGAAATGTTTGTGATATAGGTTGGTAAATAGGGCCGTTATAGGGCTGTCTATTGGTATCTATTTTATATTTACACAGACTGTATCTCAGTTTTGGGGACCCACGCAAAAAACGATTTAGAAAAACATAAACAGTTCCTTCTACAGCCACAAGTCTCGAAAATAACTTCCAAAATCTAGAAATTACCTTCGTTATCTGGGCCACAAACAGCTGCCATAGTAAATATCTTGTCAGCCGCTGATGAGCTTAAAAACCAAAACTCCACAAAAAAAGGTGAATAAAAACATAAAGAAAGATCGGCGCCGACGTGTTACCCTACCTATTGTGTATCACAAGACACCTAGTCGTGTTATATCTTTAGTAATTTCAATTGATTTATTCGCCTGTTGAGGTAAAAAGCAAACAGAAAGTTCTACTACAAGCATTGCGCTATATTCTATTTTTAGTATCAGCTCTGGACGGTGTTTAGGAAAACATGTTACATTCCGTGCTTTTGTAAATAAAGGATAAATGGGACTAAATAAATAAGAGAAAGGTTTCTCTTTTTCTCACTGTGATATCCCTGGGTTTGGCTCACGAAAACTGAAAAAATGTGATTAATTAGGTGACTATTTCTTTTTCGTTAATTTAGTGTAACATTTTTTTACTGTGAAATCAGATAAACTTAACATTTTGACTTCCTGTGGAAAAAATGGAACGGCAACGTACGTGATGAAGACACAAATATTTTAAATCATTTTGATATATTATTTAACGCATCAAACCAGGCCACTGTACGAAGCCATTGAACTTGTTATTTGCGTTTTTGTACCGACCACGGAATCGTACAGAATMCCTCTTGTTTTAGACAGACACAAGTGAAATCAAAGCACTCGAAGCTCTTTSGATTGTTTTAAAGCTAGACACGGTCATTCTTATAAAATTTAGATRGTTATGGCTKGGATGAAAGTGATCRTCAACAGAAAAACAGATTCCAAGTGAGATTCTTTCGTTTTATTTGTGTGATTAGCCGATAGCGCACGACTGCCGAGGCTAAGATAGGCCAGYKCTCAGCTGTCTATTGTTGACAGCTTTTTCGTTGGCTCTGAACGTCTTTTATTTTCACTATCCAGCTCAACAGAGGATAATTAAAGAATGTCTTTAATATCCGTTGTCTAGTAATATAACTTGCGTATTCACAAAATAATGTTCTCCGGAAGAGAACAATAAAACGTTTTTTACATCATCGATACATTGAGATTAAGCGTAAAATCTCAAGCGTTTACTGAAGTGTATCATTTGAAATTCATTCAAAAACCACTGATTTCTTTTTTAGGCAAAAAGAGGTTACCGTGTACAGTCAACTGGAAGAAAGGTCGAGTGACCGGAAGTTACCGTTTACTCCCGTGAACAACTATTTCCGGTGACTACTGCGCAGGTTCTAAAAAACAAGAAACAGATTAAAGTTGTASTTGTGTGAGGATGTGGTTGGGAAATGGCCTGTAACTGTCARCGGATGGTTTTCTTTGCTTTCTTASTTTTACTCAAGACTTTTGAAAAAGTTTCTGGGGACAGAGGTAAGTTTAATCCTATTATTAAATCGTCGTTGGCCCCTCTCTCCTTGGAAGGCTTAGAAGGACGGCCCGTTGACAACTTGTACAAAGGCCCCGAATACAGCGTTCTAATTCCATAAGATCTAACGTTATATGTAGAGATCTATCAATTTACAAAATTAAAATCCACTYGGGTTTCTTATGGTATTCGCTCGAGACGTCTAGGCGAGTAGTATTGTCCCGAAAAACTTATCAGAAAAGCGTTATATGGAACGTCAACACAACTGAGGATAACTTGAAGTGTGTAAAAAGGTTCATCGGAAATTGGAGTATTTTGGCGCTGAATCTGAGGAGTCTTACATGTCGATTTCAATGGGGGTCTATTATGGTGTAGTTGTACGGAAATCTGCTCCGTAATACCATATTAGCGAATTTGAACATGGATTCATTTTTTTCTTCGCACGCGGCCTTCCAAAGCTAAACATAGCTCAGGTGCAGTAAAGCGTAACAACAGCTTGTTTCACCACAAGATACACAAAAATTATACATTCTTAGAAGCGTGTGATTTCTTTGAGAATCTCGGTAGGGTAGAGGGGTAGTGAGTGTGTCRATTTTGGAGGTCGGAATTTGAATAATTCGGTAACTGGCTTAGTTTCTTTATGGCTTTAWTGTGATGATTAAATGTGTAGTATTCTCTAGTGTTTTTACATAAACATTACCTCCCTATATTTGCACCTTCGACTACACACAACTCGCCCTAAGGCATTTGATAACTTAAATTTAATCTCAGAAGGATTAGAACCGGTAGACTGATGTTGTTAGTTGAGTTTTCATCGTCAATAAAACCACCCGTTTGTCTCACTTTGGACTGGTTTGAATACAGCTCGATTTTCCCAGACTAATAAATCATCGCTACTTGGTCAAGTTCCAAAGAATAGGTCCTTAGTTTATATTATCATGCAAGGCTTCAAATCTCAACAATTCAGTTCAACAAATACCTGATTGAGATAAGTCTCGAGCTGATAAATCGTCGGTAAACATATGCACGATAATTTTTAGTGTTGTCGGAGTTTGGTTCCTTCTACTGTTGCTTTGTAAATCTACACCATGTAAACAAAGACTACACGGGGCCTGTACGTCTATTAATTAACATAGTTTGYAGTGAAAGTGAACTATACTTTTACTACGAAAGAAAACCCAATTTTATCGGAATGTTTTCATTATGGGAGACATAATTAGACTGACTTGGTGAGGTGTATTACTCCAAATATTTCATTCGCGCTAACTACCTTCAGCTTCTAATGAGACAGGCTTAGGAAATGATAGTTTCTGAGTTAAAAAGTCGTTGAAACGGGGCTTATTATTGAAGGTAATTTAGGACATTGRGGTTTCTTTTTACTTCCAAAGTTGATTGGAAATATTTGCCGTAGGCGTGATGTTTGTCATGCGATTGCAGCAATACAACGCGTATTTGCTTCAAAGATTGAGTAAGAATTCACGTTGAACAGTTTATTGACAGCTTGCATCCTGCCCTCTTTCGCTGRGAATGATTTCACCCGTCAAATTGAAATACAGAAAACTGCATGGTCAACACACGACTCTCTTTATTATTATTCACAAAATAATTTTATTTTTCTGTAGAYCATTAGCAGAAACAGAAAGCGAAATATTATTTACTAGAATTCCAAAGTGTCTGTGGATTGGACAATGAGAACCGCAAGAATTCTTGTTCAATCAAAACTGAGCTTATGCAGATTACTGCTTCTTGCGGTGTTAAATTGTCTCGCGATTTGGGCCATTAACCTCATGTCAAAAATCGTTTAACCGTTTGACATAATATTGGCAAAGCCTTCTCGTTTTCATGGTCGTATAAAATCAGACCTATATATATATATTTCTGAAGTGTATGAGATGCGGTTTCAATGGAATTATGTATTCATTGTTTCCCTTGATGTACACTAGAATACATTACACGTCCAACAAGCGGTTGTACATCTATCCTTAGACAAACATAAAAAAAACGCTTTGACCGTGGACTGGAGGTTTGATAATTCACGCCAAGCGATTAACTTTCGAAAAAAATGATTGTTATGGTATCGTATGTCGTCTGAAATGTTCAAATGTTTGGATGGTCACTGCCATGTGCTCTGTGTGTCGCAAAACATAAATAAATACAGAAAAAAGCGGGAAAAAATCCAGTTAAAGTTGTACTTGTAGCCCTTTTTTATTGTTTTTTTTTTTCGCGCTTAGAATTTGAGCAAAGAAAACTTATTATCGGATTTTTAATTAAATGTACCTTAAGTCAATATAACTTGTGACTAAGCTTGTAACAAAAGAAAACCATTTAAAAGCAGCATTTTAATGGCTTGACGTGCAAAGTTCTTATTCACGCGTACTTTCGGCAAAAAATGAAACATACTTTGAACTTTTTCATTTTCTCACCTAGAACCATTCACAAAAGCTGGACTTTTTTGTTCTTCAATAAAGTTGAAAGACAAAGGGTCTTTGCAAGGCTAATTAAAATAGTCATTACGTATTCTTGGCGAGGGTAAAGGTTTTTGTCTTCCAATGTGCCAAGACTTCAATCTGATAAGCATGGGAATACAGCTACATCTGATAAATTAGAATAAAACGTCAGGGTGAATCAGATACCTGGAATAATTCACCGTCCGATATGCTTRTATATTGTTTATACAAATTGTTTCAATATACAACCCTTTCTCACCCCTCGTATAACAACCGCGCTGTCAAAWRCAATTATCGTATTGCGGTCGGTGTGAAGAGGTTRATAATGTGWTAAARAACTGTGAAAGGAAGACATGTGGTCGTTTTTTCGAGGTTTTAATAAGAGGACGTGTGTAGACACTTTTGTGAGCTWTTCTGTTAACTCATCGTTGAAGAATGCGCCGAAAAATCATGTGGTTTGRAAGGGAAATTTCACATGGATCTCRAGTTGATAACCCGCGACCTCAGCCTCTCCAGTTAATCGGGTTTATTCTTAACCAACGTCTCAAATTGCTGATTTCTCAGATATAAGCGTAAAGCACTAGGGCTTTTGATTCAAACAAAAGGAGCTTTTGTTTCAGCTAAAACCGGTTGTTCTCGCATAATGCTTGTTTTGCTTTGTGTAAGGTTGTTTTGCHCTTGTTTGAGTGGTAGGCTTTTTAGCTTGCTTGCCCACAAACAGATGGTAATTGTCTTTGATGTTGCTTAATTTATGCTCATTTAATTGGTGCTGGGACTCGATATTGGACTTTGCGGCGTTCTAAAGACGATTTTTACAAGCTAAAACGAGCGAGAGCACAAAACAAAGGGAAAAAAACCGAACCTACTTGAATATTAATAGATTGTCTGATTAACAAATAAATTAGTTTTGCTCTTGACTGTTTTTTGGCATATTGATATGTTCTCAATATTATCGTACATTAGTCTCGCTCTTGGCCTATTTTATCCAACAAATTGCATTTYTCTCTCAAKATTTCCTATGARCTTTTCATCATTCGGCCRTACYAAAATGTTCTCCWTTYTTTCATTCACTTTTTCACTTTCATTTCACGGTTATTTCCGTGACGCAATGACAAGAACCCCCAGGTTGCAKGGTAAGGTCGAATTTAATATTTTTTTCTAGATGATCTGAGCTACAATCAACAGTGATTTTATCAATCGGTACACGTTTGTTCCAATATTTGCTCTACCACACAGCTCCTTATCAGCGGTTTAGTATTCCATGTGATCAAAGTTTACTTTTCTAGGCCGCAATCGTCTGTAATTTGTTTATTCTTGCGTTTGTCTAACACATTTGAAGTCCACACTCTGACGTCTTATCAAATTTATCAATCAAGTCTAACAGCGTCTGTTTGATTGGTAGCGAAATTACATGGAAACTTTGATAACAAAAGTCTGGAAAATCCTGTTTCTGAATGGTTCTGTTTTGACTTGATTTTTGAATCTTAGCCAAAAGATAATCATCCAACATTTTTTTGCAAGAAATATAATTACGGACTCTTTGGGTTTTGTTAACACGACCAGCTTCTTTCATTGACGTCGTTTTGACAACTGTTCTCCAAATTTATAAGAGCAGATTCTTTTCTCAGGGGAGTCTTATGAGTAATTTAATTACGTGGACTTCGATAACAAAGGAATTGACGTCGTCACTGACCGACAACGATAGGTCACATCATGTCGTTTGACGCGCAYGATTCTATTTGAAATATTTAATAGCAGAGTATGCATGGATGTCCGGTTTAACACAGATACACTAAAATGGCGAAATCGAGTCATGTCGTTTCGCAAGCGGAAAAAATACTTCAGACTCTAAACATTTGGCTTGTTTTTATGTCGTTTTTTATATCGACACCTATAATCGAAATCGATAAATCGCGTCTTGTCGTTCCACAAGCTGAGAAAATACTTCAGACTCTAAACATCTGTCTTGTGTGTATGTCGTTTTTTGTATCGACACCATTTATCGAAATCGATAAATCGCGTTTTGTCGTTTCACAATTTGCAAAAGTATTTCAGAATGTAAACATCTGACTTGTGTTTATGTCGTTTATTTTGACTCCATTTTATCGAAATCGATAAATCGCATCTTGTCGTTCCACAAGCTGTAAAAGTACTTCAGAGTGTAAACATCTGCCTCATGTTTATGTCGTTTGTATTGACTATATTAATCGAAATCGAAGAGTCGTGGTTTGTTCACAATGCCCAGTAACAAGTGTCGAAAATTCCCCTTTTCTGTCCATGCATATATACCCTCTTTTACTTCTCTGTTTTAACTCTATTTTGAAGTAACTGTGTGGTCAAATTTCGTATCAGGAAAAGGAAAAGTCACTTTTAATTCGGACAATAAGTTCTGGAAACTGCAACTTCATTGATCGGGTTAACCTGATTTTCACTTTCTTAAAAGAAGGATTTTTCACTTTATTAACAAGATTAAAAACTGAAATAGTATTTTCCCACATCATCCTCTGAGCTACTTCACTTCTCAATGAAGACTAATAAGAGGTTATAAAACTACTTTT